TTTGTGTGTTTTTTTGTGGTTTTTTTTTTCTGTTTGCTTTGGACAAGCTGTTACACGACGGTGCTGCGGTGCGCCGGCTCCGGGGGAAACGAGGTGGAAGTAGACTCTCCGCCCGAGTTTATCGTGCCACCGGCTTTGTGTTTTGGGGCAGCTGAGACCCTTCGACACAAACCGCTGCGTCCCAGCATCGCTGTCCCAGAGGGACCCGTCAGTCCGGTGTTTTCGGAGCAATCTCGGGGCGAGGACGTCGATGCACGTGGGGTTTTCCTCCTCGCCATCACAAGTAGCCGTGACCACGGGGTTCAGGCTCGGGTGGCACGGAGGCCTCCCGCTGCCCGGCGCGCAGAGCGTGCCCAGCTCGCTGCCGGTGTCGGTGGTCTCGGGGAACTAAAACTTTGCTTCGCAGCCGAGCGGAGCGGCTGAACGCACGGCTGCTGCCGAATTGTTTGGCGTTTTGCTACAGCGACCCTACGAGTACATCTGCTACCGCGCGTTGGTCTGTTCCTCAGGGTTTTGCTTGGCGAGTGGCTGTTCTGCTGTAGGAAAGGGACTTTTAAAGATCTTGGAAGACTTAAAAGCTGGTTTTGGTGCTAGGCAGGGGTGCTGGAGGGCGGTGAGCGCTTTCCTCGGCCGGTACGTGCCCCAGTACCTGGGTGGTTGTCTCTGGTGCTGGCAGCATCACAGAATCACAGAATGTCAGGGGTTGGAAGGGACCTCAAAGGATCATCTAGTTCAATCCCCCTGCCAGAGCAGGACCACCTAGATCAGATCACACAAGAACGCGTCCAGGCAGGTTTGGAACATCTCCAGAGAAGGAGACTCCACAAGCTCTCTGGGCAGCCTGTTCCAGTGTTCTGTTCCCCTTACTGGGAAAAAGTTCTTCCTCATGTTTAAGCAGAACCTCCTATGTTCCAGCTTATATCCATTTCCCCTTGTCCTATCATTGCATGCCCCCATCCCAGGGTCTTAGCAGGACTCGGCAGTTAAGTTGCAATACAACTTAATTTCTTTTCCAAGTGGCTTTGGCTGAGAGTCGGAGCTGAGCCCCGGAGATGTGACCTACCAGCCCTTTGGTTTTCCATAGGGTCCGTGCTCTGTCTTTACATGCGGGAGCCACTACAGTGCTCTGGCTGCAGGGATTTCCCCCGGTGTCAGCTGCCGCCCCATATACAGACCCCACTGTCCGTCCGGCAGGTGGGTCATGGCCTGAATTTGGAGTCACACAAGGCTCCAGCTCCCTAAACTGACGTCCTGCTGGCGGGGAGCGGGTGGGAGCAAGGGCCCTGGATGCACCGTCTGCACTGGGAAAGAAGTCCTGGGGTGCAAAAACTGGGGTGACATCAGCCAGCCAGGATTGTTGCAGCGTAGTTGTGCTGGTGCACAGGCAGCTGCGGCCAGTGCCCTGGTAGCCACCCGGGCTTCCTCCTCTCCGTTAACTCCAGATCGCGTTGCTGTAGCCTAAATAAAAAAAATCACGTAAGAGATTGCGCCGTAGGGCAGAAAGTCCAGGGTTATCTGGCAGGGTCTGGAGGCTGCTGAGCGCCGTGTTTGGGAACAACCTCTCCTCCAGCCCATCCTGCCCGGTCCTGGCAGGCTGTTTTGTTGGTCGTGGCCTCGGCGGTGGGAGACGTCCCTCAGGGTTGTAGCTCGGTGTTGCTTTGATAAGGAGGGACTGCCACAGGTCAGGGTCTTGCCGGGGAAGCCACAGAGAGCTTGAAGTGCCGTGCGTGAAAGGGCAGGTTAAAACCTCAGTCATTAGGTTAATGGGATTAAGCCCATGAGTCAAAAAGCTGTTTTGCACGGAGCTCAGCGCTGCCAGGAGCCCCCA